TCTTTGGAGATTTATTGGGTTAGCCTTCTTTGGAATGAAAGAACTAAAAGAGTCTTTGATATTATAAATACATATCTGTCTACATTAAAATCGAATATTTTGGCAGTTGCAGCTGATTGGTTCCTTGCATATAAGGATAGTAGCTTCATTCCTAAAAGTCTAATCATTAGCAATCGTTCTGCAGTGGCGACTATGTGTGTTATCATCAACACTCGCAGTGAGATTGTTTGGATACCACCACCAGAAAATTCCTTCAAACTTAATTCTGATAGAAGTTCACTTGACAATCTAGGGTCAACCGGCTATGGCAGACTCATCAAAAATAATTTGGGTCACATTATTTTTTCTTACTCGGGTCATTGTGGTATCACAACAACAAATGAGGCGGAAGCACGAGGTTTATTAGAAGGTTTGAAATTGCTATGCACTTTGGAACGGGACATGATTATTGAAGGAGACTCGGTAAATGTCATTGCCTGGAGTACGAGAATGGCTAAAATCACTTGGAGATTAAGGACTATTTTCATCGAATTTGGAATATTTTGTCAACCTTTATGGCAACGGTCCAATATTGTTATAAAGAGGTGAATGAAAATGCCGATGTTCTTGCTAAAGGAGGAATCCACACTCCCTCTTAGTTGGTTACTCCTTTTTTGTAATATTGCGTCATTGCTTGAACATCTTGTATTTTACATATGAATTAATAATAAGTCATACGTTACCATTCAAAAAAAAATAAAAAATGTTACATCCACTAAAAGTTAAAATGAACGATGGAAAAACAAAACAATATTCATATTTTTTTTAAAAAAATCCAAAGTTAGATCATTGTCATGGTTGAGATTATCGAACCCAATAAAAAATGGACCCGGTTTCTATGCGGCCAAGCCCACATAAGTAGAAATGCGGGCCTCATAATAAATCTATTTTTTAGATGGATTTTTGGACTTAATTTTTAGGAAAAATTATGTAAATATCCGTTTTCGTTTTTGTTAGTACCAAAATACCAAATACATTTTGTTATTATTGATATTTCCATTTTTTGGACTTCATAACATTTTTTTAAAAAAAAAACGAAACTACCTATTTTTTGTTTTTCAAAACCGAAATCAGGCAAATTTCAGCTTTTGAAGAACAAAAAATTTCAATTTTTCTCTCTGTGAGTCCTTTGCGTATTCTCTCTGTACCTCTCTCTCTTTACATTCAGTCCTCTGTGTATTCTCTCTACACCTCTCTCTCTTTGCATTACGCAAGGATTTCGAACAAGACCCGAAGACAATGAGAACAGGGAAGATTCAAAGCCATAACTTCCATCTCTCCCTCTACACCATTATTGGACTCTTGGACCAAAGAGAAGAAGATTCATCCATGTCGCTCAACCCCTTATCTCCTCATTAGCAATCTCTCTCCCTCCTATTATTACCCACAGAGAAGAAAGTGTCCAAGAGAAAAAGATTTATCCTTATTGCTCAACCCCCCTATCTCCTCCTCATTAGCAATCCCTCTTTCTCTTATAATTACCCATAGAAAAAAAGGTAAAAAAAAAAACCGAAGTCTAGAGAGAGAAAATACACAAGAATGGATCATTCTACTCGTCTCTTTCTAAAACTCCACATAACGTGAGCATAACGAAGAGACTTTTGGTTGTATTCTTCATAAAGTTCATATATTGAAGGTTTCTCTCTCCACTTTTTACCTCTTTTTTTCTTCTCTCTTAAACAAAAGTAATCGACTTCAATTCAAAACTTCTCAAGAAACTGAAAGATTCTTTTAGGATTCCTTTTACTTTATTCCTCCATTCATCCTTTATAGTGGTGGGTTTTCTTGCTGAGTGATTCTTTGATCACCAATCAAGTTCTAGAGGGATGGTAATGGGTTTTGCAAAGAAAAGTCATGAATTTCTAAACTTAAGAAACTGAAGATATGTATGGTAGTACTTTTTTCTGTCCTTATGTAAAGTTAGATTTTTTTATGAGTTTCCTAGTAAAAGAGATGCGTAAGAGGGTTCCAGCATAGAGAGAGAGAGAGAAAGAGAGAGAGAGAGAGAGAAGAGCATAAAATTGGCGTGATGAGAGAAAAGCATAAAATTTGGGCATAATGAGCAGTGGAGAGTCAACTTTCAAAGTTGCTAAAATCTCTGTGGTCTAGAGGGGGCCATTAAAATATTACTTGCGAAGGGAATTGGCGAATGCTTTCAACCAATTACATATAAGAATCTCGATCACCTGCTACAAACTCTCCAATTGCAGAAATTGACATGATTTCAGTTTTTGAAAAACCATGGGCAGTTCCATCTTTTTTAAAAAAATATGTTATGAAGTCTAAAAAACGAACATATCAGTAATACTAAAAAGTATCCGGTATTTTGACAATAACGTTAACTAAAATGGATATCTATGTAATTTTTCCTAATCGTTAAGGACGTATAATCTCCATGTAATCTCTAAATGGAGATCATGAGGACGTATAATCTCCATGTAATCTCTAAATGGAGATCATGAATATATATTTCGGCGGAAGATTGCACAAGAAAGCTAAATCGGCCGACTCACCAAATACTTTTCAAAAAAACATCGACACCCTTTCTCCTTTCAAGCTTTTTTCGGTAAATCTCTACCCTCTGACTCTCTCTAAACCCCATCTCTACGTGAAAATCTCTCTAAACCCCATCTCTACACGATAATCTCTCTCTACATAAAAATATCTCTCTAAACCCATCTCTACATGAAAATCTCTCTTTTTCCTCTCTCTCTAAACCTCATCTCTACATAAAATCACTCTCTCTCTAAACCCCATCTTCACACAAAAAGAAGAAAAATGGCAGACTAATTTTCAAAAAAAAAAAAGAAAAAACAAGGTAGAAACTAAGTTGCAGATTGTGCTTCTTCTTAAATAGCTGATATTTTTGCTGGAGAAACAGACAAGCAGAAACTGATTAGCTTTTGAATTTACAACGAATTTTGAAGATTAGCGTAAACAAAGGGGTTTAATGTATCAATCTGCAATGGCTAGAGCTTAGATTGAAATCCTTAACTGACAAAAACCTTGGAAATTAAAATTTTTTACTGTTAACTCCTCAATGGCTTGAGAGAGAAGGTTAGGTTTCTGAGGGAGAAATACGACACGCGTGGAGAGGGATTCCACAGTTGAGGCCCAAGAGAAAAGAGTAATTCCTAATATTTTACATTCATAGGAGTACATCTATGTTTATGCTTGGCGAATATCGTATTTTTTGGGCATTTTTAATGATATCAAGTGTTATTTTTATTTTGGCATTTCTAATTTTCAGAATTTTAGCCCGTTTAGTCAAGGACCAAAAAAAGGTATCTAGTTATGAATAAGGTATAGAATCAATAAGGGATGCTTTGATACAATTCCGAATCCACTACTTTGATACAATTCCAAATCCGCTATTACATGTTTGCTCTAGTTTTTGTTACTTTTGATGTCGAAACCGTTTTTCTTTTGATATAATTTTGAATCATGCATGTTTGCTTTAAGTTTTTGTCGTTTTTGATGTTAAAACAATTTTTCTTTATATATGGCGATGAGTTTCTATGTATTGGGCTTTGTTGTTTTTTATGTCGAAACAATTTTTCTTTATCCATGGGCCATGAATTTCGATGTATTGGGCGTATCCATATTTATAGAAGCTTTCATTTTCATGCTTATCCCAACCGTTGGCCAATTTATGCATGGCGAAAAGGAGCATTGGAAACCGTTTGTCTTTATCCATGGTCATGAGTTTCGATGTATTGAGCATATCCGTATTTATAGATGCTTTTACCCAATCGTTGGTTAATTTATGCATGACGAAAAGGAGCATTGGAAAGCTCAGTTGAGCCCCAAGAGAAAGAGTTTCTCTTTGTTAGGAAAATTGAAGAGAGAGAATAAAAAAAGATACGAAGAGGAATAAATATTTTATAAGATTACACCTAATACCATAGAATTAAGTTGCACTTCAAAAATCTAAAGGTATTTATGTTGAAAAACCATCGAATTGATCATTTTGACATCAAGACATGAACATAATTTTTCTTTTTTAAAATAATACATCTTACAACAGATTATGTAGACCGTCCATTTTCAAAATCTTCATATATTTATAGATCTACTTGATTTGAACTATTTTTGAAGTTTAAAAATTAATAATTAAAGATGAAAATATATTCTAGGACCACCTTAAAAATTTTCAATATCAAAATTACACCTTGTGATAGTTTGGAGGTCGCAAACTCATACAAACCACACCCGATAGCCAAAGGTCTTGGCTTTTGAACTGAGACAAATTCCTCTAAGGAAAATGATTTCTGGTCAAAGCTGGAACATATGAAGGATAACTATGCATTTAGTTTTTTAAAAAATTACTGAGCGGGATTTTTTGTATAACTAAGCCTTTTTCCTATTTTTTTAAAGATCCTTACATGAGGTATAATTTCCACAATGTTGAATGTCATAGAGCATGTTCCCAAAATTTTAATGGTACAAAATCTTTTCCAAAAGTATGAATATAATAAGGCAGTTTTTAAAATATTATTAGTATTAGTACTATCAATTCACATCGGGAAGGTTTTAGTGTAGCATCAACAGGCAATACGATGAGAGAGTAGAATTAAAGGGGCTAACCATATGTGCCGTTGGCCCAATAAAACTCTTTTTAAGAGGTGTAAAATAATTCAAGTTGAAGAATTAAAAAGGACAAAAAATAAACCCAAAAAGACACGGTTGAAAATAGTCCGAAAAGATATGATATGACCTTAAATAGAGTAGAATGACATATCAAGATTCATGTAGCCAACCCCAATTAATTGAAAAAATACCATAGTGATGATGAGTGATTCACATCACTTTAGTCTTGCAGCTGAAATTGAAGACTTCAACTGATTCAGCTGAAGTGAAGCTAATCTCATAACATTAATTTGGGGGCTTTGAGGCAAGAAGATCTAAAACATTTTAACTCAGACCCATCAGCCTCCCTCATACAGACATTCCCATAAATATAAGGCCACATGAGAATCACTAGCAGAACTTTGATAACTTATCTTCTCGAACTGCTTATTACAAGAGCAAAAATTTCGAGCAATTACAGATAATGCGAATTCAGCTGCTTCTGCAGGTTCTTCACAGTAACCTGATAATATAAGACACCTTTTCCATGTGTTCCACTACTTTTTGAAATACATAAATCAGAAATACAATTCCATTCCTCCATTTTCCAGCCATATAATCACAACTAGGAAAATTCGAAGAACATCAAGAGCATGATCTTTGGAAACACTCTTAATAGGGCACCCATAATGCTTCTTTTATTGATGGGTTCAGATTTCTTTAGCCCGTTTTGTACTCTTGGCATCTACTGAAAATTTTGAAGATATGACGAGGCAGGTTATTGAATCCCCTGTGTCACTGACCCCCACCCACATTACCTTTTTCACCGATGGATCATTCTCGCTCCTTTGCCAAACTCATTCATCATGATCATCCGGGCCTTATCCCAACTATTTCAAGTCGGCTACCTCTGTTAAACTCATTATAATGAAAGGAAAACACCTTCATTACCGCACCTCATTGTAAGCAACCGTGCCCTGACCCTGAACATCCATACAAATCTTTTTTGTCCTGCTTCTTGTGCACAATGTCAAACACCAAGGAAGCTCAAAACCAACATGATTCTAAATGGTGCTGTTAGTTCTTGATTCTCACTTGTTTAGGTCATGGTTTCGAAAGCCTTCTAGCCCATGGACTTTGACTGGGCAACCATGAGATTGAGGCCCCAGAAATAGCACACCATCTTAGATTCAAAAGAGCAGCAGCAAGGTGCTCTTCTGAGTCCTTAAATAGTTGCACTATACATTTCTCGGCTTCTGGGTCTTCATCAGCAAGGATAAGGTTCTCAAAAGAAGCAATTTTCTCCCTCTGAATGGTTTCATCTTCTGAGATCATTCTGATGCTTAGCACTTGAAGTGCTTCCATGGCTGTTTTTATGTAATTCTGTTTCATGTATGCAATGAACACATAATAACAGGTTGTGGGATCGGGTTGAACTCTCTCCCGGTGCATGTATTCGATGATAAACTCAATTATGTCGAACCTCCTCTGGATTTGTCAATTCAATATACACAAATTTAGAAGAATGTGTGTGTATGAGAGAGAGAGAGAGAGAGAGAGAGAGAGAGGAGGGAGGAGAGAAGTAAAGTAAAGTAGTGTGTAGGAACGTACCTACAGTAGAGTGACGTAGTACGTACGAAGGTAGTAGGTTAAGTTAAATAAGTACGACTACACGAACGTAACTAACCTC